GGGCTATACGCCGCGTGCGGGAGAAGTTCCCAGCCTAACGCAAAGATATGGTCCTGAGTCATTTTCGCAACATGTGGTCGGGCATTGTCATGAAGCAGTATCACTTTACGACGTCCTTTGCCAGTAAATGGCCTCTTTTCTTCAAACGCATCGCTCAAATTGCTCAATTGTTGCTGATAGCGATCTGCCGTTACTGTTTCACCCGGCTGTAACAACTCGTAATACAATACACTTTTCCAATCCCACCATATGCAAAGCAAAACCTTCTTGGCGTGGATATTGGTCTTTGGCGTCGATGTCGAAGGTTGACCAGGGTCAACCCATGATTTTTTACGCTTCGGATTATCATAAAGTATCCACTTTTCATCATCTGTAATGATTTGGTGCAGAAAATCCTTTTTCCGGAACCTTGAAAGCAAAGTGAGTGCCGTGTCACGCTGTCGATTTTTGTTGTCTTCGGATAGTGCATGCGAAACCCATCTGCCTTCCTTTTGAACTTTTCCCATTGCATGTAAACGTGTGGAAATGGCTTGTCGCGTAACGCCAAGTTGCTCTGCAAGCTCCTTTTCAGTTTATGCAGAGTTTATATCCAACAATGCTTGCAGTTCGTCTGTTTCAATCTTTTGAGGGCGTCCAGCACGCGGTTCATCTTCAAGACTGAAATCTCCTTGGCGAAATTTTTGATACCACCTTTTACACGTAGCATAACTTATAGCGTTCTCTCCATATGCAACACAGATCATTTCAGTGGCTTCAGCAGCATTTTTCTTCATATGAAACGCGAAGTGGATGAAAAATCGAATATGCTCTTTTGTTATTGCCATCGTGAACACTGTTGATTTTAAGGTTATGTGCATCAAACGCCAAATCGCACGATGTTTCGAAAGACCAAATGTCACTGCTTTAAAACTGCAAGAGGGCGGGAAAATTAATGCAATTTAAATTGTGGTTTCAGTAGTATAAAATCTAGGGCTCAGAACTTTTTTGCGCTCCTAATAATTTACTTACGTCACTCCGAATTTTTCCTTAGACCTTAGAAACATTTCTTGCACAGCGTCGACCACCATTTTACCCGCGGAACCGGCATGGTTTGCAAAACACTCTTCTTCGTACTGTTCATACCACTCAATGTACTCTTCGGTACCTTTTTTCTTGTTCCAAAACGTACAGGCTTGGCAGTAGCCACTTTTTACGACGAGATCTATTACTTTGCCAGTATAATTTCCGTTCAGCATCGTTATACCGTATAGTAAAGTAAACCCACGTTTCTTCCATGATCCATCGCCAGATATTTTGAACTCTGTTGGAGGTCTTCCATTGTTGACATTTTCTTTTTCTTCTTCAACGGCTTTTTTACATAAAATATGCAACACTGAATGCGTCACTGTGTGTGTATACTAATATGTCGCACAATCTGATCGTATGCAGTTTTGTTTATACTTTGAATTGATATCCATTAGTCTACTAATATATTTTTATGCCTTCTTGGCCGATACCTAAGAATTTCATAACAAAGACGATTCTCCGATTTATTTCGAAACTGGTATTAATCAATGGCCCTGAATTCATTTCTTTGTGACCACAAACACATTTAACAATAAGTTTAAAACCAAAACCGCAGTTATCGGATTCTTCGAATTTTACATTTTGCTTGCACTGCCTACAAATAAGCAACTCCGCGAGTGCGCCAAACACTGACAAAAATTCTACTATTCTATAATAATGCATCGGATTATAAATTATATCTTCACTACTCACACTCTTTATTTTTTTTCCGCTGGCATTCTGCTCCACATTCTCATTGTCTTGTTCCGTAAATCTACTGCCATGAAACTGTCTTTTTCGCGATCTTGATGGACGTTTGGACTCTCCATGCTTCTTTACCTTGTGACCTTATCTGCATAACGCGTATTTGTTCCGTGAGCTGCATCTATCGAACCACTTCGAATTTCGCTCCATAACTTTAGGAGTATATTATCAACGAATACTACTATCGATTTATGTAAAAAAAAATCGAAAATTTTGACTTTATAAAGTAGGTTCCCTACTTAAAGGGGAAGCGAAGGCAACTTTACATTTATGTAATTAGAGAGGCCTCTTGAATACATGAAACTTCCTTAAGAACAATTTTTTGATTTGATAAATGTTCGTGAGTCCGCTTGGAAATATGAAAAACAAAGAAAAAAAGGTAAACGAAGTTTCAACGAATATTTTCGTATCGCTGCCGTGTTATGATATTTTGGGATAGCAGGCAGAAGAAGCCTCGATAAAGCGACCCAGTTCCAAAATAAACAGCCGAAGCATTACATCCAAATTCGTTCGATCGCTCTATTGTAATTTGAACATTGTTGATCTCAGCGAAGTAACGACACGGCTGAATCTTCTGGAATTTCGACAACCAAGCTCGTGCCTAGACCGACACGAGACATTGGCGGCGAGAAAGAGAGGAGATATATATATATGACTATGGAAACCACAACTTCACTTCGCGTTCCGATTCAATTCTTTCTCGACGCCTGATCTCTCGTTCAGGTCCTCTCGCGCTTCTTTGTTAGCGGTTGCGACTTGCGTTGCTCACGGAGCAAAGCCGATCACTGCGTTGGTCCTTTGATTTTGCGCGTGATAATTATTTTCTGTTCTCTTAGATCCTTTCTTTTCTTTTGTTGTGTAGAATTTTGGTATTCTTTTTTTTTTGTTTGTGATTAGGTTAGCTCGTAACACCGCCCGACTGGTGCGGTTCGATTGTGTGCGAGGTTGACCTTTAGATTAAATTCAGCTAAATTCAATCTGATCAAAGACGGCTACCCGAGCAGAAACGAATCTAGTCAGTCCAATTTAGAGACTAGTAGCGAGCTAGTATTGACTAGATAAGTTTTCTAGCTAGTCATTAGCTCGTGATTGGCAAAATATTCTTAACCAGTCTTACTAATCCAGTTGTTGTCTAATAATTATACTGAAAATATGATGTTAGATGGCGCTGTTTCTTCAGAAAACAATCTAGTTATAATCTAGTTGCTGGCCATTTTTAATTGATCAGCAGATCCAAGAGAAAGGTTATGTTATTTCATAAAAATATGTTTCGTAATAATCTAGTAGTAACATAGATAGCATAACTTATAGATGGTACTATTATATAACGCTAAGGCATATAGCGAGCTTGTCATGATTAAACAGCTTGTACTAATTAGAAAAAATCTACCTTTTTTCAAGTATAATTTCCCGAAGTTATCCCGAGTAGAAATTGATCTATCTTGTTTTAAATAATTTTCTGAAGTTATCCCGAGTACAAATCGCAGGATCGTTTAGTCGTATAGGTGTAAACACCGATAAACATACTTAGAAAAATTTTAAAATCTTTTATAAATCGATGTGGTGAAAGTCGATCGAATTGTAAAAAAACAATATAAATATTCGAGATGAATAAAGCATAGGGTCAAATAGAAGTCAGAGAGAAAACGAGTAAATTGGCGAAAAAGACTGTTGTAAGCTCGATAGACTTTTGGAGCGAAGGAAGCGAGGAGATCAAATGATTAACCTGTGTTTAGCGTGAGATAACGAATTTATTATTTATATTCTATTATTATTATTACTATTAAATTCTCTCATTTTACATGTATATAAGCTGTCATGATTATAACACGCCCAAAGTAAAATTTACAATAATTATGACAAATATTACGGATAAAGCCTACATAGACTAGTAAATTTGTATATTGCATCTTCGATATTTAGTTTTCTTTTTTTAATGCTGAGCTGTAAGTCCAGTCTGCAAAAGATGTTTCAAACTCTAAGCTTTAAGAAATTGGCCAATCATAATTGAATGTGAGAAGAATAATCGATTGTGATTGTTCAATTTCTTAAGACTTAAAGCTTAAAACAACTCTTGTATCTATAGACCGTAATTTATTTAAGGCTCAACTTCCAGTATATATAGTTACACTAATAAGTTAATATCAACATTATTATGTTCAATGTCTTCATACATTCTCAATAAGAAAATATGTGTATAAACAATCAGTAAGATATTTGATAAATGCAGTGTGCAACTATAATTTTCTAGCATGGATGATATGAATATAAAAGAAAAAACACGTAAACGTATACGAAAACATCGGCGCATTCAATCTGCATTAGCAAATGTTGCTTCATGTTCTTATTTTAGAAGTATGCATACATTACTCTATAATTTGTAATAATTTATTAATTAGATTGAAATAACGTTGCAAAGACGTTGCGATGTTGAATATTAAAATATAAACATATTTCTAATGTTCAATTTCTGTTTATTTTTCTACATTGCTTATTTCAAGTAATGTATTCAATTTAGTTAATTTAGATATGACATATCTATTTATAAATTAGAGCTTACACAGAAACAATTAGAAACATTAGAATGCTCGCGAACTTTTAAATATACTTTCTTCAATGAACGACATTACTAACAGTAATGATTACTAACGTAGTAATGATATTACTAACAGTATTCTTTATATTGTTATGTTCTTTATTATTATACAGATGAAACTGATGATATAACATATGATACAACTGATTTCCATGAAGATATTGCAAAGAAAGTATCACGACATTCCAACAGTGATGTGAGTGAGAGTGCAGTACAATATCATAACATTAATATCGATACTTTTGAGAGTGATAATGTTAATTATTCGGAACATGATACAAGCATAAATGAATGTGATGTAGATAAAGCACAGGATGATTTTGAAATTGATGAATTTGATGTAGATGAATCGAAAGTAAATACATCACAGGATGATTTTGAAATTGATGAATCTGATGTACATGAATCGAATGTAAATATATCACAGGATGATTTTGAAATTGATGAATTAAGAAGATAGGCAGTAGCCTGTAATATTCCAAGCGCACATCTTGACAAGTTATTATTAATATTGCGTAAAAGACTATTGCCACAACTTCCTAAGAGTAGTGTTACTTTTTTAAACACTATAGGGGCTATATATAATATAAAAGCAATGAAAGGAGTAGGAGATAGTATCGGTGAATATGTATATTTAGGAATTGAGAATGGTCTTAATGGATATGTAGATCCAAAAGTACATAGAAATGATAGCATACTTCTCCAAATAAATGTTGATGGGGCATCTCCATACAATTCTAGTACGAAGCAATTATGGGCCATATTGTGCAAAGTTCTTTTTAATCCAAATATATATTCACCTTTTACTGTAGCGTTATATTACGGAGATACAAAACCAGGCAATGTAGATGAATACATGAATGATTTTATAGAAGAGATAAATTTATTACAAAAGAACGGTATTGTCGTAGATAAAAAGAAATATACTGTACAACTACTGCATATAATTTGTGATATCCCTGCAAGGAAATTTTTAAAACAAATTAAAGGACATGGAAGATATGCAGCTTGCGAACGGTGCGAGGTGAATGGAACACGTGTAGGATATCCTAATCAACGTGTTGTTTATCCTGATTATGATTGTCATCCAAGAACCGATCAATCATTTCGAGAACAGCGGCAAAAAGAACACCATCTAAATATGTCACCATTATTGCACATACAGCCACCAATCGACTTAATTTATAGTTTTCCTATAGATTATATGCATATGTGTTGTTTAGGAATCATAAAAAAGTTTTATGTAATGGATCTACTCTTCAACAAAACTGCTGTGCGATTAAAGTCAAGTCTTAAAAAAAATTATCTGAACGAGTAACATTTATAAAACGGTTTATTCCCAACGAATTTCAGCGAAAACTACGGCCATTCGTACCAAATTTAAAAGCGTCGGAACTGCGTTTCATAGCATTATATACTGGTCCTATTATATTCAAGGAAATAATATCGCCCGAATTATATGATCATTTTTTACTTCTACATGTCGCTTTACGGATATTATGTACGAAGAATGTTGCACAACACTTTAATGATACTGCGCGATCCTATTTAAAAACATATTTTGTCCTTTTACCTAAGTTTTATGGTAAAGAATCTCATGTATTGGGTGAGTGCAAAAGTTCGTGCGGAGTTTGTGAGTAAAAGTCACACAGTGATTAGGCAAACAAAAATCTTTATTCAATCAATGATATATTCTCCATCGTTTTCTATAATCTTTTCCCAACGTTCTGGCAGCATACGGATGCCTCGATCATAAAAACTGCGCGGTTTAGATTCAACGAACGAAGAGACGCCGTTTTTTAAGGCCTCCAAAGAGTCAAAGGTTTTTCCATTTAAATAATTTTGCAATGACCGGAACAAGTGATAGTCAGATGGTGCGATATCAGGAGAATACGGTGGATGCGTTAAGACATCCCATTTCAGGCTCTTCAGTTTGCGCAGCGTCTTTTTCGAAACGTGTGGTCTGGCGTTGTCGTGATGAAAGACGACTCCCTTGCGATTTGACAAAATCGGACGTTTCTCTTTTATTTCTCGATTCAGATTGGTTAATTGGCGACAGTACTTGTCCGAATCAATCGTTTCGCCAGCGGGGAGAAGCTCGAAATAGATTATGCCCTTGCAATCCCACCAAACAGAGAGCTTTCATCGGGTGCAAACTGGCCTTTGGCATTGCGTCACTATACTCACCTGATTGTTTCCATGTCCGTTTGCGCTGAACATTGTTGTAGAGGACCCATTTCTCATCGCCCGTCACTAGTCGATCCAAAAACGACTCGTTATTGAGCCGCCCGAGTAAAGAAACGGCTGCAGAAATTCGCTTGATTTTGTTCTTCTCGGTCAGCAAATGTGGCACCCATATATCGAGCTTCAAATCGAATCCCATCTTTTTTAAACGCCGAAAAGCGGTTGATCGGTCAACGTTTAGTGCTGTAGCAACTTCTTCTGTTGAAATTCGCGGATTATTGAGCACTAAAGTACGCAAAACATCATCATCAATGTCAGAAGGTCGACCAGAGCGTGGCTCGTCTTCAAGGTTAAATTCTCCGCGCCGAAATTTAGCAAACCATTTTTCCACAGTTCGTTTAGCTGGTGCTTCATCCTGATAAACATCCTGAATGTTTTTTACGGCTGCGGCAACGTTTTTTCCCTTCCGAAACTCGTAAAGCATAACATGTCGTAAATGCACCTTATCGATACTCATTTTTAAAGTGATATTTCTCGAAGCAGTTTGTATGAAAACAAATGATTTTTTTTTTAATAACAGCTGAAGACGTCACCTTTCCAACGTTATATAATATGTAGATGGAAGTATTAATGACAACACTTTACGACGCTTATAACTCCATCTATTGAAACTCCGCACGAACTTTTGCACTCACCCAATATTAAATGCGCACTATCTTATCCATTTAGCGGATGACGTTAGATAAGATTATACACTTAATGATTTATCAGCATTTCCGTTTGAAAGCCAATTAGGGGAAATAAAGAAATTATTATGTACTGCTAACAAACCATTAGCTCAAATATGTAGACGCATACATGAAAAGAGAATTATTAAAAGGAAAGCTGCAATTCAATCAGCATTTTTTATTATAACAAAGAAAAAAGTTACACATAATAATCGATTAATATTAAAATTGAAATATAAAAATGTTTATATTAGTGCAGAGCAACCAGATAATATATTTATGTTAAACAATCATGAAATTGTCAAAATAGTAAGTTTAGGTTATTTTTGCGAATCTGCAGATGATATTCAAATAACTGCGGTATGTGTGTGTGTGTGTGCGTGTGCGTGTGCGTGTGCGTGTGCGTGTGCGTGTGCGTGTGCGTGTGCGTGTGCGTGTGCGTGTGCGTGTGCGTGTGCGTGTGCGTGTGCGTATGTGTGTGTGTGTGTGTATGTGTGTGTGTGTGTGGTGTTACAGCAGAGATAAGGACCCTACAGTTTGTCACTCCTGCAGTAATTAATGACTCCAAACCCTCTCTGCTGTGTGTGTGGTGTGTGTGTACTAATAGTGGGTATGACTGCCTCGTGCGCGTATTACCTCATTCATACGATCAGGCATACTCCTTATTAGTCTTTTAATTTCATCCTGCGTAATTGTATTCCATTCGTTTTTGAGAATTATTCGCAGTTCTCGCAGTGACTGAGGAGCAGGTACGTGATTTCGTACTTTCCTGCCGAGGTTGTCCCATAAGTGTTCGATTGGATTTAAATTTGGACTATTTACTGGCCAATCGAGTCGATTTATGCCAACTTCATCGAAGAAATCAAGCACTCTTCTCACAGTGTGTGGTCGAGCATTGTCTTGCATAAACAAGAAGTTCTCTCCGATGAAGGGTGCGTACGGAACAACATACGGAATGAGTATGTCTTCCACGTATACATCTGCGTTCATATTCTTGTCCAAAAAGTGCAGATCTGTATGAGCATTAGCTGAAATTCCTGCCCAAATCATTACAGAGCCTCCATTGTAGCTATGCCTCTCACTTACCGTACAGTCTGCAAATCGTTCTACACCGCGACGATAAACTCGTTCTCGTCCATCTGGAGAATAGACACAAAAACGAGATTCATCGCTAAAGAGTACTTTGCTCCAGTCTGCGTAAGTCCAATCTCTATGCTCAACTGCAAAATTGAGTCGAGCTACGCGATGGTGACATTTAAGCAAAGGTACAGCTGCTGGCCTGCGCGAAAGCAGATTTTGTTCCTTTAATCTTCTCCGAACGGTGTTAACGGATACATTAATGTTGCGGACATCCCTTAAATTGTTTCTAATTTGAACAGATGTTCGATGTCTGTCTCTTAATGAATTTGAAACAATAAATCGGTCATCATTGTGATTGGTACATCGAGGACGTCCCGAACCAGGCCTTCTATGAAAAGAATTGGTTTGTAAGTACCTGGCATAAGCACGTTGCACAGTTGACATTGACAAATCAAGTGCCTGAGCAACGTACCTTCGACTTCTGCCATCTTCAATTAAAGCAATAACTTGAGCAGCCTTTTCAGGATTTATCGTCGCCATAATCGACGCAATAATTTCGATGCGAAACAATCAATTATGGTTTAAATTGATGAAGTTGCACGAAGCAACGCGCCTCGAAAGGAAAAGATCACGGAAAAAGAAAAGTCGCACGAGGCAGCGCTTATCGGAGTGAACACGTTCGGAAAAGGAAAATTGTTTGTCTTTGTTTATTGTCTTGGCACATACATTTAAGAAAAATCCAGTCAAGCCAGGCGTTAAAGCCCGGCGCACCGACAGAATCTCAGTCAAGCCAGAACGTAAGCCCGGCGTACTGACAAACTCGCGAAGTCCAGCGTACAAGAGATAGTGCCACTATCGGCGGTGGACCGTACGAAGGCCAAAAGCTATACGAAGGCAATCTCTGATCGTCTCCGAGGGTACTCTTATATGCCCTGGGCAGCTCGAACTCGCGTGCGAGCCGAGGGGCTCGCGCGCGCGACAACCCAGATCGCCGCGTCGCGGCGGCTCCGTGGACTAGGAGCGCCAGGGAATTTCGACGTTCAGGTGGCGTCCAGCGACTCGGCATCCCGCGCGCCGGGTCACCGCGAACTCAGGCGCGATCCTGAACAGCATATTCAAGCTGTGTACCATAATGGCCAATTGTACGGAGAAGGTAGAGAGCTAGGGACAGCTTCGCGAACTAAAGTGTATACCACAGTGATCATGCGTAACTGAAGGGTAAAGAATGATAACTTTTAATAAAAATTAAATTTCCAATTCGCAAAATTGTGTAAATTATTGTATAGAGAATAATGAACGCGGCTATTGAAATTATGAAAGAGCCAAACGAACCGCAGAGCCTCTTAGCCCCTTAAGCCTCGCTGAATCGACATTTGTTGCAAATTCGAAATTGAATATCTCGACACCTAAATATCCTAGCAGCAAATTTCAAAAACGGTTTGAAAGCTTTGAAACCGTACTTTTCGAAAGATCTATCGAAATTGTGCGCAACGATATTTTTTCAAAATGGCGGGTGATAAAAAGGAGAACATGAAAAGTTGCTAAAAAAAGGTTCGAGCGTGCGACGACGCATGGAGCAAAGTAAGTGTCGCAGCTCAATGGGACGAAAAGTACCTAAAAGTATAGAATGTTTTCTTTAAAATACTTCGTTATAGAGCTTGATGCGATACTTATTCACTGAATTATGCAAATTTAACAAGAAAACTGCATTTTTAGCAAAATTTGGAACAACTCAGTGAAAAATGATCACATCGAGCTCGGTAAAGTAGCATTTTAAAGATAACACTCTATACTTTCATGTGCATTTGGTCCCATTACGCTGCGATACCTGATGCACACCATGCATCATCGCAAACACGGACCTTTGATTATCAATTTTGCATCCTTTCACTTTATCATCCGCCATTTTGAAAAAAATGGCCGAGCATAATTGCCATTCAGATATTCTTAAAGAGGACGTTTCAAGCTTCAATTTTGCATTTCTGCGCATATTTGTATCTTCATTATTTACCAAGTTATGATCATTTGAAATTTTGTAATTTTTTCCCAAATTTTTAGTGTACCAGGTTTTTTGCGTTTGAGTGTATATATATATATTATTTTTCCCTGTAGGTTATAATAATTTTTTCAAATTAACTAGTACAACCAGTAAGAATAAAGTACAGTAAGAATAAATAATAATCCTCTTAAAAAGAATTAAATAATCTGTGTATAAGAGGAAATTTATATTAAAATCAATAAGATTTGCATTATACATATAACATATAATCCCTCTAACTTTAAGAATAATGTGTTTATAATATTTTCCTCTTAATTTTAAAGGAAT